GTCCTGTTCATCCACCCCCGGCCGGCTCGGGTGTGTGGCGGCCTCCTCTCGATCGGGGTCCTGTTAATCCAGCGGCAATGGCCTCGACTACCCTGGGGTCCTGTTCATCCAACCCCCACCGGGAACTGTTCATCCAACCCCAACAACAGTCACTATTCATCAAGAGGCAGCAACAGGTTCGATCAAGTTCAGTTAGCAGCAGTAGCGAAGGGATCGCTCGGGTTCAGTTAACAGCCAGGGATCGATCGCTTGGGTTTAGTAATGTAGCTAGTGCAATCGCTCGGGTGCAGTAAGCGAACGCCTCGCTCGGGTTTAGTTAGAGCCCAACGCCTCGCACCCACGCGCGCACGTGTACGAGAGAAACATGCAATCCCTGCATGCATCGCTCGGCCCTGACCACCCATTGTAACCGGGAACTCCCCGATATTTTCCTCGCCCTTGCTTCTACCATGATTTTTCCCGTCATGGACGGCCCAAAGAATGTCATGCAGGTGCGTCCCCGGCCCGTCCAGGATGAAAAGCCCATTTCTGTCATGATTTTTTGTCATAGAAGTAGGAGCCCACCACATCTATGATGATACCGGGTTTTGTCACAATATTGTCATAGAAGTGTCATAAGCATGACATAAAAAAAATTGTTCAGCCCAAAATGTCAAAGATGTATCTTTTTTTGTAGTGACGGAATGGTGCTAACGCTAGGAGGCGAGAAGACCTTCGTGACGCCCAAGACTAGTGGACGACGACACCCCAGATCGCATCCGGCATGTAAACCCTAGACCTCTCATGTATATATAAAGGAAGGTCTAGGGTTCACCTTGATCCATCTATCCTCGGATTGGAGAACTCTCGGTAGCAACATCATACACCATTGTAACCTCTCGCACAAGGTATCCCTCCTTTTATGAATAATCAAAACCAGCAGGACGTAGGGTATTACACTCTAGAGGCCTGAACCTGGATAAACCCCTCGTGTGACCTCCGATCCATGACATCCAGCTGCGCTTGGACCCCTACCGAGGGATCTGACGGGAATATGCTCCGTCAACAGGAGAAAAGGGTTGAGCTTGCGCCAACCAAAGCTTCCTCAAAAACCATTTATCACCTACTATCGTCGCTACCTACGCACCTCCAGGGTAGCTCTGACTTCGCGAAAACATGGCGAGACAAAGGAAATTCTATCGAGCACGCCAGAAACAAAACGGCTACCAAAGCCATGTTGACACCCTACCATCTGGCCATCATCATCGTTGCCAAACTCGACGCCACACCATGACATCGCAGGTCGAGCACCTGCCGACAGCAAAGTCGTGAGCATCTAGCACATGGAGAGCGCAAACGGGATCCATGGGTCTTCAAGGCGACACCCAAAGAGGAAAGCGACGACGGCGACGCCCTCTCTCGGCCCGACATAGCCTTAGGCTTTCACCCAAAGAACTGGATCCAGGAGTGTGAAACGACGTTCACAGATGCCGAGCCGTTGCCGGTAAGAGACCACCCAACACCACCCCCCACGCACTACACCTCCGTTAGCCTGCACACCACTCACGAAGCCACTGCATTAGAAGCTTCTGAAACACACCACATACCTCGGTTCGCCGCCACGCAACGCCGACAGGCCATATCCGCAGCCGGCGCGCGACTTGGCGCTTAACGGCTGCCAGTAACCCCATGTAATTCGTAGTAGAACACAGTGTTAAAGACTAACTCTGTAGCCATCTTAACTGCTAGTTTTGAAATTTATGAATATTGTTGCTTTTTTCATATATATTATAATAAAGATCTGAATACTTGCATGTCTGGATTTGAGAAGTGATTTTAACCATGAGACACCCGCAAGAAGAGTACACAAACAAAACCCATCTTAAATTCTACGTATGATTTTACTACTTGTGATCGAGTTTGGGCTCTGAAACCGTGTAACTACTGCCTAGTACTACGTACTATTTGGGGCCAACAAGCTTCAAGCCCCATTTCACGTCCTCGCAGCGCCGGAGATGCGGCACCGACCTCGCGGTGTCCGCCGTGTGTTTGAGCTTGCAATCGTACATGGGCGGCGTGTGGAAGCAGGGCTCCATGGACACGTCGCGGCCGCAGGGCGGGTCCGGCGTCTCGCTGAAGTTGACCGGGCGGTACATGACCCACGGCGTGACGCCGGCGAGCCCCTGCGCGACGTACCCGAACGTGGACCAGCCGGAGGTGACGAGCACGTCGCAGAGGCTGAGCAGGTACATCTCCGCCCACGCCTTGGTGTCGTGCGACCTCCGGCCGAACTGCTGGTACTCCTCGTGGCTCGGCTGGTGCACGCCCACGTCCTCGCCGCTCGCCGTCGGCTGCTCCCAGTACATGCTCTTGATGCGCTCGTAGAACCACGGCCTCAGCGAGGCGATTAGGACGGTCCTGGACATGCCCCCGGGCACCGGCGTGATGACCGGCTCACCGGCGGCGAGGACCTCCGGGAGCAGCTTCTCCTTCCACACGCACGACGTGATCTGCCGCAGGATGTGCGGCGACTTGCCCTGCTCGCTGTCGAATACGCGTAGCTGGATGCCGACCAGCTGCTCCGCACGCGCGAGGTAGGCGCGGTAGTACCGCGAGACGAGGCTCCAGACGTGGTCGGCCGGGTGAAAGAGGTAGCGGCCGAGGTGGTGGAACACGGCGTCGCGCTCCGGGAAGAGCGCGGCGAGCTCGTCCGCGAACGACGGGACCTGGAACAGCCCCGGCACGCTGTAGGTGTCCATCCTCGCAACCAGCCACTGGATGCTGGACATGAGCCGCTGGTCGTCGTCGCAGAAGAACCTCTTGTCGCCGTCGCCGTAGTCGTGCTCAAGGTAGGCGTACGCCAACGCCGGCACCTGCACCGGCTCCTTGGAGTCCTCCGTGAGCACCTTGTTCTTGAGCATGTTGCCGTAGGTCTCGGCGGCGTCGACGGTGATGTTGGCGAGGCCCGCCACGGGGAAGTCCGGGGGCAGCAGCCACGTCGCGCCGGGGAACGGCTCGCAGAAGAGCTCGTCCATGCCGTTGCCCCGGTCGATGAGGAGGACGCGGTCGGTGAGCAGCGCGTAGAGGAACGCCGACGCGGCGGCGAGGATGCGGTTGCCGAGGCCGCGGTTGCAGACGGAGACCACGTACTTGCACTCGGCGTCGACGGCGCTCCTGCCGGCGCTCAGCTGCTGGATGGCGCGGCCGTACGCGTCGCTGCCGGGGCCACACCGTCGCTGGAGCTCTTCGTGCCGTCGCAGCCTCGCGACGAGGTGCGGGGAAGGCCGCCGCGGCGTGTTCCGTCGGTACGCGGAGGACTCGTGCCTGCTGCGGCATGTCTTGTCGTCGACTTCGTCGGCCAGGAGGCCGCCGAGGAGTTTGTCCGGCGCGTTCCTCGCGTACGGTAACCAGGCGTAACCGGAACCTGCATGCACGTAAAAAGAGAAGGTTTAGCTCGTCCAGCTCCAGTCAGAGTCAACTTCAGCTAGTGTTGACTTGTCTTGGCGTCAGATTTACGCATGGGGCAGACAAACAGTCTCTACACTGAAGCAACAGTTGACTGGGGTTTGGAGATGCTCTTATGCGCAACAGTGCAAGCAGCTAGCAGGAGGTCAGTTAATTTCATTGAGAAAGGTTGTGAACATTCACGGCCGACGTGCAAAATCAATGCATAATAACGGTAGGCTAACTTTCAGTTGAGTAAGCAGTGACCCATGTTTGCACGATGCTGCAATTACAGCTGCCGATGCTGCGCATATGTAGCCTGCAGCAGACTGCGTGGACAAATCTATGGTCTAAGATTAGAACTACCAGTTTACCACGATCGAAACACATACTATTGTACAGAGACTTGTAAGCATGCATGTATGTATGATATGAGAAAACTAAGCTTGGTTACCTCGGCGCAGCTGGGCTCCGGCAGCGGCGATCCAGACCGCGGGAACGCCGACGCCGTCGACAAGAAGGACGACCGCCAGCAGCACGGCCACGACGAAGGCGACGAGCAACAGGTTGACCGCCGGCCTGCACCGCCTCTCACCGGCGCCCATCGGCCTCTTCTTATTCTTCTTCCGCGGCGTCATGGAGCACTGGTCCGGAGCCTCCTCGGCCTCCAGCAAGTCGCGCGCCGTGGCGGTCCTCGGCAGCACGGCCGCCGGCGACGCCTCCTGCTCCGTGACGCCCTCCGCGAACACCTTGGCCTTGCGGTGCATCGCCGACGCGCGTGTTCCTCGGCTAACCAACTAAAGCTTATGACGCCGTTGCGAGGCGAAACCACTCTTTATCTATTGCTAGCAGGGGCAGGCAAGAAACTGCGGCTGGCCTACACGGGATTAGGCGCGGCGCATTTCTCGCGGATTTGTTTTAGTCGATCGATAACGCATTGGATTTGTCAAATCTTAAGAGCTACGGTCTACGGCCTGTCCTGCACCGCCGCTAGTACTGAAAACAGGACATGAGCAATTAATCACATCGTAGAATAATGTAGGATAGTACTGGCACTTGCGTGCATACTTTTTGGATCGTACCGGCGAGTCCACGGTTCATCGTCAAATGTGATTACGCAGAGCAACTAATCACGAGCCGAGTTCTGATGCTAAACGAACTGAACCACAGCTTCTCTATCTTTCGCCCCACTTGCGCATGGTTTCAGAAACAGAGTTGTTTAGTGCCCACTACCATGGGGAGTTCAGGGCCTCTTTTGATTCACAGATTTTAGTGCTAATTTTTTTATAAGAAGGGTTAGTGTGTTTCTTTAGATTCAGCTCCCTGCACGGCAGTGCTGAAATTCCCATTTTAGCAAACTGAAGATACCTTCATAACGAAGTCAACAGAAAAGATTCAATTACAGATGTAAAACAAAGAATGAACCAATAAAATACATTTCCATAGGAAAAAAACAGCACCGGTAATTTAGCTAGTACACACGAGAGCACGAGCTTATTCTGATTACTCTCGGTTGCGAGGAGTCAAGAACTTAAGATGAGGGCACGCCATATTCTGATCAGCCGTTCGTGAGCTGGTTAATTCACAAACCGGCAGTGCTTTCTGATCTGCCCGTTGGCCTCGGTCTTCACCTCGATGCTGCCCATTTTCACCATAGCCGCCTTGAATTGCTTCAACCACTCCCGCAGGTCCTTGGCGTGATTGTCCACCAATCTCGATGTCGTCTCAGATGACATGAGCGCGGCGTCTGACTTGAACAGCACCTTGCGTTTCTGCACGTTGTCATAGTATTGGTTGTCCAGATCATCGGGAGTCTCGGGATCCTGAACCACAGTGGGGTCGGCGCCGCGGCTGCACTGCCCCTGCAGGGATGCGGCTAAAGTAGGATCCATCGATGAGGGGTTTGGGGGTAGGCGGTCAAGGAAGGACGAGCAGTGGGAGATCCCGACCGTATGGGCGCCCGAGAGGGTGACCATGTCCTCGAGGCTGAGCCCCTTCACTCTGAACATATCCTCGAGGACACTGACGTTGGCGAAGGGAGGGGGCAGGTTGGGGAGGGTCTCGCTGGCGAGGGACATGTTCCCGTCGTAGCGGCCGGCCGGCATGTCGAAGTTGGACTTCCTGTCACCCCATAGGAAGTCGAGGAAGCTGAACTTCTTTTTTCCGCTTAGCAAAACGGTGGCGTCGCGCCCGGCGAAGGCTACGATGTCGGCGCACGAGACGACCCCCTCGCACTCCTTCTCAAGCTTCTCCTTGGCCGCGTCGATCACCTCGTAACCGCGGAGGCTGGGGAAGTTGGGGATGCCGAACTTCTCCGTCTGCGGGTTGGCCGTGGTGTTGTCAAGGAGAACCGAGGCATCGCAACCCTGGGCAAAAAGGCTCGCGCACGTTAGTGCCTCACAAACATATCCATGCATGCGTAAATATTCACACGTATGGACGTAGCATGATTGCATGAATTCTATACACTTGTAGTTCGGCGTACCCTGACAAAACAGTCGTGGAAGAAGAGGCGGATGAGCGCGGCGCTGATGCCAGGGTCGGCCTTTGCAGCCTCCTCGACGACCTCCCTCACGATCTTCTCCGCGTTATGGCACTTCGTTTGGTAGTAGCCCACGGTGAGTACCGCTGGTGCGGGTGCCGCAGGAGGTGGTGGGCTTGAGGTGGGCGGCAATGGGTTGGGATACCCATAGCTCGCTTGGCATGTGTGCGCCACACAACCAAGCAATGCTACCACAACCAAGGCAGCAAGCTTGTCAGCAGCCATGGTTGCTATATTATGAACTCTGCAGCTAGCTAGCGAGAGGATGAAAAGACGGATGGGTGAAGCAGAGTTGGTGTTGTGCATGTCTATTTATAGCTGGCTTGATCCAAGCTAATCAAACTGTCCTAGACGAGCCAACGACCATGGCCCATGGGATGAACATTATGCCTGCATGCATGGGATTTTGCGTAATCTTTTGAACATGCATGTTAGGTTGTGGTGTTTAAGTCAAGAGGGAACATGCATGGCGAACATAGTGACAGCTCGCGCGGTTGACATTCCATGCCCATTTCCTCCGTTGTGGGTGTCAGGTGGCATCAACTGGCTCCCATAGGTTTTGATATTGTATCGTGTGCCGCATGTAAGGGATGGATGCAGTTCTTTTATTGGTGACGGAGGGCAATGTCCAGCGTCTCTTGCGTGGATCAGGAAATTGTTGTTGCGGTCGTTGGGTTAACTTTTTCCCCCGAATGTAGTTGTCAATTATTTCTCATGTACTGTATCAACTAATGTATATTTTTTTAATGAAAACAAGAATTTCTTGCATGTGACAAGTTGAGCAATGGTTGATCCTTGCACCAAAATTTGTAGCCAAGACATTGTTTCGTGGGATTTCTCGTCTCAAATCGATGAATGCCTGCAAATTTTCTTTTAGAGAACAGACACAAGAAGTGTCCGGCTTTTAAATTAATAAAGCTAGCCGACCACGGCAATGGTAACATCAACATAAGTACGTTACAGACCAAACAAACCTCCTGCCAGTGAGAATTCCTTCGAAAGTAACACGCCTCTTTGCTGCCTTCGCGTGTCCGTAGCACAAAACAAGCAACTCCGTTTCAGGGCCCTCGAAATCAGAGTCCTCCGAGGTAGCAGGGATCTGCGCGTGCAAAGGAAAGCCAAAGATTTGATCCAAAACTTGAGAACAAGCTCCTTCGAGAAATCCCCAAATCACAAATCCTAACCCTAACTCTAAGAACTTACCTTCATGGTGCCGTCGTTGGAAACTGAGATGACGTACTCAACGGTGTGGTCGCTACTTTCGCCATCACTCCAGGAAACCATGACACGGCGGCGGCGGCGGCGGCAAGCACGAACAGAGCAAGAGAGAGGAGAGCACACAGAGCGAGGGAGACATAGTGGAGAAGAGATGGGGGGGAGAGTAAGATTTGGTCTCTCGACCGAACGACGCCGTCTAACGGTGGTCTGCACGGCTAGCTACGCCACGTAGGCAAAAAAGAGACCCACATGTCATAAACTCACTTAGCAGAGTCAGATCCGTCGATCAGTGTTTTCTGCAAAAGGAAAAAAAATACACAAGACATGGTGTTTTTTGCCAAAAATATGTACGTAGTGGTTGTCTGCTAATTTAACCTTCAAAGTGATTGTTTTGTGCAATTTACTCCAGCGTGGCAAAACCTGAGCAGAAACTAAGAAAC